AAGTATCATTCACTCTTCTAACTTTACCNCGAACGCTTATAAAGCAAGACTAGAAGACATGTTCAAACGTCAGACAACGTTCGAACGCCCCTAAAGCAAAACAGAAGACAACGTTTGAACGTCGATTCACGTTTGAACGTCCTCCACAGACTGCCTGTAGAGTAGTTGGTTTTCATGGGCGGCAAACAATATTCACTCATCCTATCTTATCTTCTTGTTTCCTCCCCCTCTTCCTTGCTTATAAATAGCCCCATTATGGGAGCTTCAAGGGGGGGGGGGGGGAAGAATCTTTTTCTCTTAAAAAGTAGGGTAGAGAACTAGTTCTTGTACATTTCTTGTTTATATTTTCATTTTGCATTTGTATCAACCATGATGGAGGTTTATATTCCCCTTGTAGTTGAAGTCTTTTATTTACTTGTGTTAAGTCTTTACATTCATGTTGTGACAACTATGATGGAGGCTTAGACTCCCCTTATAGTTGTATTTGTTTTTATTTACAAGTATCAAGAGAGATAGCTCATGTTTTGTTTGTGTTGGAAATCCTTCAAGAGTAACTAGCTTTCTTCTACTTTTATTGTTTATGTATTTCACTTTCATTGCTTGAGCATCCTTCTTTCTTAGAAGAGTGAAACTCTTCCACTTTTCTAGAGCTTTACCAAAACCGTGAAGAGTGGAACGTGATTCATTTATTCTTTATTGAAGGTAAACTCTTTGTTTAGTTTGCTTCACTTAGTAGCTCTTCTACTTTGAGGGATAAGTATCATTCACTCTTCTAACTTTACCAAAGCCATGAAAAGTAAGTAGTTCCTCATTCACTCTTTAGTAAGAGGTGATGAATATGTAAAGATTACCCGGAAGTTATGTTTGTGCAATTTCTTTATGCTTTAATGTTTTATATGTCACTTGCTCATTGGATGATTGAATGCATCTAGAAAAACTAAGGTCTTTTGTATAACCAAGGGCTCCTTCTATGATACAGATGACTCCTGCATAGAAAGACTCGTTGTTNGGACCCTAAGGTACTTGAGTACCATGTTCGAACACCAACTAACGTTCGAACGTCCACTTGAGTTGATTGAAAACCAGACTAATGAGACATGGCGTGTTGCAATAAACAAAGAAGGAGGACTCTAAAGCACTTGAGTACCACTTTCGAACGCCATTCAACGTTTGAACGTCCCTTGGAATCAGTTGAAGAACAGACTTCTGCATAGAGTGTGGAAATGAACTACACAGAAGACCACTTGAGTGGAAAAGGTCAAGCCCCATTTGGCGTTCGAACGCTTATAAAGCAAGACTAGAAGACATGTTCAAACGTCAGACAACGTTCGAACGCCCCTAAAGCAAAACAGAAGACAACGTTTGAACGTCGATTCACGTTTGAACGTCCTCCACAGACTGCCTGTAGAGTAGTTGGTTTTCATGGGCGGCAAACAATATTCACTCATCCTATCTTATCTTCTTGTTTCCTCCCCCTCTTCCTTGCTTATAAATAGCCCCATTATGGGAGCTTCCAGGGGGGGGGGGGGGAAGAATCTTTTTCTCTTAAAAAGTAGGGTAGAGAACTAGTTCTTGTACATTTCTTGTTTATATTTTCATTTTGCATTTGTATCAACCATGATGGAGGTTTATATTCCCCTTGTAGTTGAAGTCTTTTATTTACTTGTGTTAAGTCTTTACATTCATGTTGTGACAACTATGATGGAGGCTTAGACTCCCCTTATAGTTGTATTTGTTTTTATTTACAAGTATCAAGAGAGATAGCTCATGTTTTGTTTGTGTTGGAAATCCTTCAAGAGTAACTAGCTTTCTTCTACTTTTATTGTTTATGTATTTCACTTTCATTGCTTGAGCATCCTTCTTTCTTAGAAGAGTGAAACTCTTCCACTTTTCTAGAGCTTTACCAAAACCGTGAAGAGTGGAACGTGATTCATTTATTCTTTATTGAAGGTAAACTCTTTGTTTAGTTTGCTTCACTTAGTAGCTCTTCTACTTTGAGGGATAAGTATCATTCACTCTTCTAACTTTACCAAAGCCATGAAAAGTAAGTAGTTCCTCATTCACTCTTTAGTAAGAGGTGATGAATATGTAAAGATTACCCGGAAGTTATGTTTGTGCAATTTCTTTATGCTTTAATGTTTTATATGTCACTTGCTCATTGGATGATTGAATGCATCTAGAAAAACTAAGGTCTTTTGTATAACCAAGGGCTCCTTCTATGATACAGATGACTCCTGCATAGAAAGACTCGTTGTTTCAAGGCAAGCACCCCGACTAGCTCTTCATGACAACCTTTCAATCTCCACCATTATTGCGCTTTATTCAAAGAATGGACCATTAATGTCATGGTTGAATATCTTGTAGAAACACTTGCTTGTTTGTAGACGGGTTAAGTCTCGGTACAGACAATTCTTGTAAACTTCTAAAAAGGCATCGAAATTATGTACTTAATTCTCATAGTCCATCTTTATCTTCTGATTAACTTGTTGTTGACACATGAGTTAATTGAGTTATAAAGCACAAACATAATAAACCGGATAATCAATTACATGTTCTGATCTTCGAATTAAAGAGTGGTTGTTATCCTTGCTAATTTATCTTATATTTTGTCTAAAAAAAATCCATTGGAACGAATCTTATCTTCTGTCCAGAAAACCCCACAACTTCAAACTCTCAAGACTTCCAGTTACTTGGTCTCTATCACTGCTTACTTCTAAACACTAATCATAGTTCCTTGTGGATTCAACTCCGGACTTAACCGGATTATTACTACAACTTGACCGCATGCAATTGGGTGTACACATTTCAGATCAAGTCACAAACACTATTGCTTGGCTATTTTGGGTGGAATTTCAATTTTCACAGCCTACTACTAGGGAGAGAGCCCTTCTCTATTTAGGTTAGATGAACAGCACTGAAAAGACTCTAGGTATAGAGATTATATTAGAGTTTTTTACTATGGGTGAAAAGACTAAGCTGCCCCTTGTGAAAACAGGATATCTCTAAATGTGATAGCTAAAAGTTGGCCCAAATATAAAAAATGGGTCTAGCTCAACCCAATAGAATTAACAGATTTTTTGTTTTATATTTTACTAATATTTTTCCAGGAATGTATACCATAATTCAAAAAAGATTCTTAAATAAATCTGAATTGGGTATGGTTTCTAAATTCTCATTGAAATATTTAAGTGGGTTTCCTTCAATTAAAAGTCACTAGAAAATGTATAAATTATCACTTAATTATTAAAAGATAAATTCATATAACATCGTTTATAATTCAATAAAATGTCACAAAAGGCCTATATTTAGATAAGCTTAGAGTTAGAAATACACAAATTGTTTTTTGAGAGAGGTGTGAACAAAAACAAAAAATTTACGCTTCCAGTTTCCATTATTGTTATGTAAAACCCATTTCATTCCCGCGTCCGTTACTCCATTACAGTTATCATTACGATAGTCGTTACCGTTATTCAGAATTATGGGCGTCGGACTATAGTATTGTAGTGCTGACAACTTCTAAAGCTTTGAAATAGAACTGTTAGAATAATCCAAGAATCTTCTAGCACACCAGATTGTGAATGTTTTAACTCCATAGGGAAGAAAGGTGGTGTCAAAGACTTTACTCGCCGACCCTATCTCGATAGCTGGTCATTATCGTTGCCTTTGTTGGAGTGACATAAGACCCCATTTGTCATGTATTTAGCTTCAATAGAAGTTGAAATGATATTGGGCAAGTTCAAATTCTAAATATTAAAGAGTTGTGTAATACTCTTTCCTTTGCTTGGACTTTTTTTCTAAGGTTTATCTGATGTCCTTACTCTTCTGGAATTTTGGATAAAAATATTGTTTGTAATATTCCAAATATAGTAAAATCACTTATTAAAATTTCTGATTTGAAACATGTAATGTATAACAAAACAGTAAAAATCAAGTGCAAAACAGTTATATAGAAAATTGAAACAGTTATAAAAGAATTAACGAAACAGTGACAACAGTCTTACCGAAACAGTTACACGTAACGTTTGTTTAAACAATATTGATACTAATCCGTTTGCAGAACAAGAACTGTTATTGAGTTTTAAGTAGATCAAGGTTAATGTTTGACACTATGTTCTTAAGACAGATTTCGCCCCCACACACAGTACTTATGAAATTTTAAGCGTCAGCCTCATAGGATACAATAATCTTTTCACGAGTAGAAGTAGCACTCCAATCTATCTGTCCAATGAACCAAAAATTGTGTTGTGTACTCTCTAACTACGGACTATTTTAATGATGTATAAAACTACCTTAAATAACTATGGATGTATTGGATTTATTGGATGCAAAATGATTATGTAACTGAGTTATTTATAGAGAGAATGATGACTAATCCAGACATTCACCATATGAACGGATGCAATCCAGCAACAAAATGATTAGGTACTCGCTCCGCTCATAAAATTGTGGTACCCCTTAGGGCCCAATCACATAGAGCAAATTTGACCTATATATGCCCATCTAGAACTTCTTCCTCAACCAATGTGGGATTGGGATTGGTGTCAAATTCCACATTGCACAACCTTTTTTTTCACATTTCAAGAAGATTAATTTGGAGTCTATTTCTTAATTCATTTCTTACTCGATTTGAGCAAGTGAATATACTAAATTATTCTCCTCACAAATTAGAATATGAACCCATGAAAGTTTACTTGAAATAACGAATGAGTCTCATTTCAATTTAGGCTCAAAGTAGACTAAAAAATTTAATTTTTACACTTAAATAACTGTTTTGGTCCAACAAAAAACTCAGCAGCTTGAGTGAGTGGTCCGACTAGAATTCCATGTTCTTTAGAAACTTTGTAGCAGATCATAACTTGAGTCGATGATGAGTCACCCGAAGCATAGAAGTATAAAAGAATCAAAATATGTTTTGCTTTCACTCGGGTCACCGATGTATTGATGCTAATCAACTCCAAAGTTGCACCGAGCATGTTTGTTCCTTGGGAGACGCGGAGTTGATGCCACATTTCAAAAGAATTCTAAGTGAAAGCCCAAGTGAAGACAGGCCGATCAAACTGATTGGCCTTGGTGTCGTGCTTTCACTTAAAGGGCACCGAGGTATAGATGCTAATCAACTTCTAAGTCATGCCGAGTAGTTAAATGTCACAAACTAAGCTGTTGGATGAGTTTAGACTTGGCTGTGCTGGTTTCCAATTAGCTCTGGATAGGTACACCACCGTCCACAAGGCTTTTGTGTTCATTGGCAATGATACCGATTGGTGTTACGACGGCTCCAACCACCATCTAAGTGGTGTCGAGCACTTTTGTTTCCTCGGAGATGTGGAGCATATGCCGAGCATGTTTGTTTCCTCAAGGGTATGGAGTATATGTCGCATTTCGAGACTTCTAAGGACGGAGAGACCCGAGGAGAGACAGGCCAATCAAATGATCAGTTTTGGTTGGCATTTGAGGAATTGACCTCTTGGGATTAGTAGACTGATAGCTTCTTGATGAGAACCCAAACCCCTTTGCTGAGTTGAGATAGCAATCAATAGGTGACCCATTTATTCTTTGCTTGGCTCTTGTAGCTTCATTTTTTTTAACCCGGGCATAAGTCATGTCTTCGTTTCCCGAGTTGTAATGTGTCAAGAGTTGCATTCACATTGCACCGATAACTGCCGAGAGAGATTCAAGACGATACACCCCCTTGTGATTGAGGACAACCCAGAGAGTTGGTGCACCGAAATTGCTGGGTTTGGCATTAAGATCATCCCGAAGGATCTCGGGAAAGGTTGGGATCTCCAGATTGTACCCGGCTCCTCTGAATTTTTGGAGATAGTAAGACTAGTCATCATTCCATGATTCATTTGACTTCGCCGACCACCCTTTGGACCATATCATTGGTGGTGAGACAAAACTCAGCTTAGTTCAACACCCATAACTAAGTCCTGCAACACTCAAACAATAATGAAAGGCTTTATATCATGTTTTTTTACTGTCTGTGTGCTCATGTATACATGTATGATTCCCCAACTGAATAAGTGTTGTTTTTTCCAAATGCCACTGGAGTAAAATTTGGCAACCACTGTGGTTCTTTGTATTAAACTACAGTGGTTCTCACGGAGGGAGGTGGCTAGAGATTTCCTTCTAACATAGCTTATACATTTGCATTTAGAATACAAGGTTGTGTTATTCCTCTGCTGCACAAGAAGTTGGTTTTAAGAGTGGCTGAGAGAGATGGACATATCTATTGGCTTATTTCAAAGGCAATAATAAATAACTTAAAGCGAACGGCCCATGGGTTCAACTATTGGCCAGCCACATTTATCATGCAATGTTGGGCATGAAAGTATAATCTTGGTTAAGATATGTCTAACGAAACAAATCACTTATCTTTATGTTTGCCACCGAATTTAATTGATGAGGATATGCTATATGGGGATGTCCCGAGCAACATAACGGCAAAATGGAACACCAAGTTAAAGGCAGAGTATACTAGAATGTGCACCACTTTGTGATAAGAGATCAATAATCTACTAAGTGCCAAGTGTGTTTGGGTGGCACATGTACTGGAAAAAGAATTTAACCGCAGTTCAAGGCAAGATCTTTAAAATATTGTGTTCATCACAATGCTTTTTAAAAGAAAATTCATCATAGCAGAAATGCCATTCCTTGTGTCCCATACCAAAGGAGAGTACAATGCAATGAAACTTTACGAATTATCACTAACAGTCAACAGATTCGCATTAAGGCTTGTATTACAAGAACATTTGACAAAATGTAGAGGCATTCTTATGAACAAGTAGTAGAAAGTACTTATATGCATCACATGGTAACAGACTAAGTATTGCTGAACTTGGATGAAATATGTGAAGAGAGCACTTATCTTTGGATCTGTCGAATTCGATCTGTGCACGGAGATAAAGAATAGAAAAATATCATGAGCTCCATCAACATACAAAATAATGAATGAATAAGCCGGACTTCGTGGATCGACAAATGCAGATGCCGAGCAACTCCTTGTAGATTCTTGCGACATTTTGTGATGATAACGATATCTCGAACGTGCCCACTGCCAAGACCGTGTATTCTTTTGTGGGTAGAGATGACGGGGCTTTGGTAGAATAATACTACCCACAAAAGCCCAAATACTGGAACTAAGAAATGGCGTATAGGAAAAGGTCAAACAAAGGACCCATTAACACAAAAATAATGAGACTTTATGAAAGAAGATTTTTGGGCAGTAGGTTCTCGTGAAGACTTGGATAGTGGGACTTTGGAAAATTATTGTAATGTTTTCATTTTTGAGTTTGAAAGGCAGACCGATCGAGTGCTACATCTCCCCTACAGGAACAACCGAAGATTTCAACAAGATCCAATAGCACGTGGTACTTTGGCAGTTCCAAAGGTCAAGTCGGTCTCATGAACTGAATGATGCGAAGATATTGAAGACTCGTTTGCTTGGTTTCCCACATAGAGTGCCAAATTGTGCGGGCAAAAAATCGCACAATTACTAAAATGTTGAAGATGCGATCCTGGTCTTCGAATATAATCCAGTCCATGGGTTGCAAAATCAGAGAGATGTTAGAGGAACCCCTGGCGTTAAGCCAAGGGAGGCCCCTCCGATATCTAAGTCTGTATTGTGATCAATACATGAATAGACTAGTGTATAAAACTAGAAAAATGAACAAAGGTGTGTGTGTGGAGTATGGAGCCGAGGCGCTCATACTTCAGGCTTTCCTACCTTTGGGTCTTCACCCCTCTATATAGAAAAAGTGGAGAGCTACTTACCATTGAGAGTTCATACTCCTTGGATTGATACATTCTTGTGCACAGTTGTCAAATTGAGATTCGTATAGTGAATCAGAATCTTAAATTTTTGAATTGTAAATCGTAAGATTTGACAGAAAATTCAAATAAAAAAAAATAACATCTATATAGTTAAAATAGGCAAGGTATTGAATTTTGAGCACTATTGCATTGTAAAAATAGTCAATTGACATAATCACGTAGTCTAAATGAAAAGACGCTAGCCTTTATGGATAGAAAATGTGGGTTTGAGTCCCACTATGATTAATTTTTATATATTATTTGCAACTTGCAAGCCAACTAGAATATAAAATAAAGCATCTATAAAGAGAATATGTATGTATCATTAATTCATTATAATTATACTATACAATCAAAAGTCATGTTATGGACCTATGGTCCCAAAAAATGAGATTTATATACCGTAATGAACAAAAAAAATCAAGTTTTAAGACTCATCAAAAAAATAAAAGTAGTCAATTTCTTCAATTATCATCATGTCCAAGGTCAAGATTTTCATCATCATCATCTTCTTCTACTTCAACTATCTTTGTTTCCTCATCCTCTTCCATTTTCTTATCATCAACCACTTCAATATCATCATCTATCTCAACAACTTTAGCTTTGTCTTTTTTAATAGCATTTGATGGTGTAAGTCAACGTGGATGAGCATAAAGTACAGGTGACGTGTGATGAGTGTGGATCAGAGCTACAAGGCTCATGTGAGATGCTGCTGCGAAATATTCAGGGGATTAAAGGGGTGCACACAGTGAAAATATAGTGGTTCACAGGCTCAAGAGCTCTGCTTGTCCACTCTTCAATGGAGACTCTTGCTCCCTCTCCTTTATTCCATACTAAAATGTATTACAATATCGTATCTCTCGAGATTAGGGTTTTTTTTATCCTCTCTCATCCATGGAGGCGTTACATAGTATTTATAGGAGTATTTCCTGTTCTATAGGATCTCAGTCGAGATCTTTGCCTGTCATTAGTGGGATTCTCCTTGATTTTAGGAGAGAATCTTGGTTGGTTGAGAGTTTCACGTTTTGAACTCAATTTTCGCAGTCATCCAGTTGTTCCCTGATCAGTTCCACTACCATTTCCCCAGGGGGAGCTCTAGCTCTAGATTTCTGAGCTCCTCGTATCCTACCTGACCTCCTGACCTGACCTCGTTTCCTGAGCTCATTCTTATAACTTATTTGAGGTATCATCAGTTGCCCCCCAGCCCCTGGTTCAAGCGGGTTTGGGCAAGGGTTGAGCTGTTTTTAAACCAAGCTGAGCTTGCATGTGGCTGTCCTTTGCTTGCATGTGATAGATGCCCTTTGGACGGTTTTCAACAATCATGACTTCCTCGATTCCCGTACACGCTTCAGCCCATGTCTCTCAAGTTTTAAATACTTTACCAGAATCGCCTTTTTCCACTATTTGGTTTCTTGGCTGTCTCTCTCTTCTTGAGGTCTCTTGGCTTTTTGGTTTAAAATTCTTCGATTCTTTATTCAAGATCTAGTTGTTTGGGTTCGGTTTGAAGATTCGCATTGACCTCTTTCTTCGATTTCACTCTAGGCTGTTGCTCCTTCCTAACTAGGTACGCCTCTTTTGCCCCCTTTTTTGCCATTTCTCATCCTGGATCCCTCGAGTTCGAGGTGGTCATTGCATTTATGGGCTTTTTGATCCTTTTACCTCTGGAACCGAAATTGTTGCTTGTCTCCTCTTCCCCACTTCGTGGATTGGGGCCCTATCGTGCGAATTCTCGCTGTTAGAAGGTACTGTGCTGATCCTAGGGTTATCTGGGAGTGCTTTACTAGTATCCCTCACCTATACCGTTCTTTCAATTTACCTTTCTCCTATCCAATCATGTCTAACCCTTCCAGAGCTACTCGCTCCTCTGTTTCTCTCTTAGGAGAAAGGTATGTCGAAGAGGACACTGACTTAGGGGATATGAGTGAGGAAATCGATAATTTCTCTGGTGTTGATGCTATCAACGCCGAGGCGAATACTGAGGAACCTCCCCTATCGTCTTCTTCTGTGCCCCCTAATCCTAACAAAGGTAAGGGCAATGTGAGTGGGGTAGCAGTCTCTAACAGCGCAGCGGGCACAGGGGCTACCTTTAAGCATGCTGAGCTCGTAGGCCTTAGTGAGGTTGACCCTTCTCGTATGAAAATTTTTAGTGGTCGTTAATTTTTCCTCCTGGCGTCCAGCCCTGGTGTCTAGATAAATTTACCCCATACATTGCCCAGGTTCATAAGAAAGTCTGTTTCTTCGTGGCCGCTTTTGAGAATGACCTTCGCTTCCCTATACACCCCTTCATCAAGAGTGTTTTGCAACACTTCAACGTCTGCCCTGCCCAACTGTCCCCTAACTTCTGGGGTGTTCTGGTGGGTCTTCTAGTTTTATTTAAGAAACACGAGCTCGGGGTTCCCAGTCTTTCCTTGCTCGTGGATCTTTTTAATGTCAAGCTCACCTCATCTAAGGGTTTCTTGTATATCTCCAAGTGAACCACGGCTAGACAGATCATTACTCACCTCTTGAGCTCCCATATGGGTTGGAAGAGACAATTCTTTTTCGTTGGAGGCACCAATCGGGAGTACAACCCTGCTGATAGGACTGATACTCTTGATATCCCTAGAGCCTGGTCCACCCCTGATAACTTTGATGAGTCCTTGCCCGAA